AACTATTTAGAGACAACTCTTGCACAAAATGCAATACAAAATCAAAATTTAAAAAGTTTTTGCCCTTCTGTTCTCCAGCCCTCAAGATTCGTGACCTTCGTCTGGGACAACAATGACATAAATCCCGAAACATTAAACGGAACCTCTATGCACGTTACTAATGGCATTGTTATTCAGTTACAAAACCAAGTTGATCAAGTACACAAGGATCGTGTAAATGAAAAGGTTACAAGAGACAGAGAAAGATCTTTTAAAGCAATTGAAAATCAGTTGCCGCTGTATGTCAAGCATAATCGCGAAGAACCAGATCACTTACGTCATTCAAACGCAATATCAAGAGACACTAAGTTACTGGAAGTGTCAGAGAAGTTGGATTTTTTTTGGACATTACTATATTATTTTTCTGATCATATCCCTAGTTGGACGGGGTTTAATTATCTAATTACACCTAAAAAGACACCTGAAGATATACACACTATTAGCTATCTCCCAGCTATTAACTCATCGCCTACCAACTTAAACACTGTGCTTGAAGTTCTGCTCCATTCCAAAGCTAAAGCCGAAAATCTTGGTCTTACAGAAACTGACGTTGTAGTGGATCAAGCTATATATGCCAAAGCGGTAGAAATTCTGATGAATCCTAGCTACATTGATCTTAAAAGGTTTATTGTCCTCCGAATGGGTGTATTTCATATATCTTGTATATTTCTAACTGTTATTGGTAAAAGGTTTAGTGATGCAGGATTGCAAGATTGGATAATTGAAGCTGAATTATGTGGTTAGTTATTTTTTACTTATTCAAAATTTTCATACATTACATTACGTAGTTAAATGTTGCTTTTTACCAAGTAAGTGAAAAGTATCTAATATTTATATATGTGTTTTATAAAGGTAAAAGTTCTGTGGACCGTATTTTGAAAGGAAAGCATTATAACCGTGCCGTCCGAATTTATAAATACCTGTACAATGCACTGACACAGTTGAGGATAAAACATTTTGAAAGTTGGTTAATTGAAAACAATCTTTCTTCATTGAATCACTTCGCTTCTTCACCTGAAATCATTAACTGTTTAAAGGAGGTAAGTATTTGCGCCGTAACATAAGATGGATTATTTTTTAGAAATTTGGTTTTGATACCATGACTATATTTTTATTTTTTCTAGACAAATTATGACAATTTAAAATTGTTGTTTGATGATGACTTCTGCAAAGCTGTAGATGACCACTCAAACGTGTTAAAAGATATAAAAATTTCCGGACCAACTTCCGCATTTTGGTTTTCCTTTATCGAAATGTTAAATATTTTTTTTGCTTTGCTACGTTCAACGAAGGTTGGTAACTGGAATCTTCATTTGGAGGCAACACGCCAAATGATACCGTGGTTTTTTGCATATGATCATCCAAATTATTCTCGCTACTTAACTTTTTATTGGACCGAAATGACTCAACTTCCTAAAACTCATCCTAGTGTTTATCAACAATTTATGTAAGCTTGTATTAAAAATACTTTTTTATTTGGAGTTTAAAATTTGTAAAAATGCATTTAAATAACTGCTTTATAATGTTATATCTTTTTAAAAACAGGGATGGAAACTTTTCAGTAAGAAGAACGAGCGGTACATTTAACAAAATTCCATCTGATCAATGCATTGAACAAACAATCAATCGCGATCAGAAATGCCGCGGGGGAATAAAAGGTTATAGTACGTGTGAAGGAACCATCCAACGCTGGATACTAACAAGTCATACCGTTTCAAAATGCATCTCAATTTTGCAAAATAACTTAGGAATCACAACTAGAAAACAATCACCAAAAGATCTAAAACCATCAAGAAAAGATTTCAACAATGGATGTGTAGAGAGAGCGTTGATGCTAATGAAAAATTGGGGAAGTCCTTTCAAGCAAAGAGATTCTTTGGTTAATATTTGTTCTGGAATAGAAGCACCTGATGAGTTAGAAGAACATTTATTGAATGCACAATCCATCGGAGAAACAGAGTTCCAAAAGTTTTTTAAAGAACGCATTCAATCTTCGACAGTATCTTTTTACGCTCCAATCAAAATGTGTCGCCTGCAAACATTTAAAAATTTGAATCTGAAAAAAATTTATCACGTCAAAGAAAAATCGTACACAATCACATCAGAACGAAGCATGTTTGGGAGATTATTAGTTATTGCGAAAAGTAGAGAAGGTCTAACTTTGAAACAAATACTATGCTATTCTTTGAGTCCCATTCCATGGGCATTAGGATTACCTGATGGTAGCTTTGTGAAAACAAACAAAATGAATCTTCTTTGTGAGTTTAACTTTATTTTACTTATACCTACAAATAAATCATCTAGTTCAATTAACAGCTTGACTTGAAATAATAATGTAACTTTTTTAGGTGCAATAGAATCTTCGGTGGATCGAGAGCACTTTGAAGAATTTGTTTCACAGGTTCCTCAAAATGCTGCACATGTTTTTGATGGAATGGCAATTCTGCAGCAGCTTGCTAACATAAAGCTCAAAACTTTTGGAGATATTTCAGAATTTATTTTAAATCTAATTCTTAAAGGTTCCACTATATATTTTGTCACTGACCAATACCAACCAGGATCAATAAAATCATTCGAACGTGCTCGAAGAAAAAAATCAGGATCTCTACATTTTAAGATTCAGCGTAGAGAACAAGCAAGACCTAATCAATGGCAAAAATATATGCAAGATGCGGACAACAAGGTCGATCTTATTACATTTCTACTAAACGATTGGTCACATACGGAAATGTTTGCATTAAAACTCACTGGGTATATTCTCTTTGTAAACTTGCAGTCTCGTTTTTATAAATTGACATGTGAGGTTGGTGGTCAGGTTAGCTAATAGTTTAATTTTTGTTTACGCTGATCTAAAAATCTTTTGTATAACTCTTGTCTTTAAAAATTACTAGATGTACTTTATAATTCCTTGGTAGGAGTTATCTCTGTTTTTGTAACGCATCTTATAAATATAAATATTTAAAGGTTACCAGCGAGGAAGTTGAATCACTGCACACAAATCAAGAAGAAGCTGATACAAAAGTATTCTTGTGCTCTAAGCACGCAGCATCTATTGGCTTTGATAGCGTTTGCATTCACACGGTTGATACAGATATTGCTATTTACGGTTTGTACTTCCAAAATCAGCTTCCCATACATTTTTTTGTGGATATTGGCGTTTGTAATTCAAGACGAATTCTTGATATAAAGATTATTGCCTCAAAGCTAGGTACTGATTGTTGTAAAGCTCTTCTTGCTCTTCATGCATTTAGCGGGAACGATTACACAAGTGCCTTTTACGGGATCGGTAAGGCAAAGTTTTTCAAACTAATGAGAGAGTCTGAAGAGTACAAGTCAATTTTTTCCAAGATTGGCGACACTTTTACCTTTGATGCAACCCATTTTGAGTATATAGAGAAGTTTACATGTCAATTATATGGCTTAAAATGCAATAATACGAATGAAGGAAGATACATAAAGTTTATTGCCAAGAAAGAAGCTCCGGAACCTCAAAAACTTCCACCTACTCGGGATTCTCTTATGTGTCACTGCAAGAGAGTTTCCTATGTAACAGCAGTTGTTAAACGATCGTTGGAAGCAAATCCCGATATTCCAAAACCTAATGGACATGGGTGGAAAGAAATTGGCAACCAACTTGAGGTTGAATGGATGCTTATCCCACCTGCCCCAGAAGATGTTTTGCAGTTAATTTCCTGCGCATGTAAAAAGTCAAAATGTGAAACACGGGTGTGTATTTGTCGATTGCATGGATTAAGTTGTACGGAGTTGTGCGGCTGTTCGTATTGTGAAAACAAAAATGATTCTTACGATAGCTTGACAGAATATTCCTCGAGTGATTCTGATGCAAGTTCAGAATTTTCTGAAATTGAATAAATGTGTTTATTAAAAATAATGCTCATATTAAAAAAATCTTGCACCCCCCCCCCCAAATTTAAAAACAATAAAACTTTGGGGGAGGGGGAGGGGGAAGAGAAGCGCGGCTTCTTGCTCCTCCCCCTTAATCCCCTTCCTCTGTGACCTATATATATATATATATATATATATATATATATATATATATATATATATATATATATATATATATATATATATATATACATGCACACACACAAACATACGCGCAAAATACAATTTCTTCATTATGTAAGCACGTCATCAAAAAGGACCCTCGAGTCCAATAACTACTTACCTGTTAAAAATCTGTACATGAGGTATTGATACTTTTTATTCAGAACGAGTTTACCTAACTTTTAACATAAATTTTTATTTTTTAATTTGACTTTTAAAAAAAATTTATAGTGTGACGTCATCAGTACCAAATAATGCCCCGAATTTGACCATTAAGCATTTTCAGAATGGCCCGTAAAGTTTTTTTCATTTAGGACATCAACCTTGAACTATTTAATTAGTTTTTGTAATGTCCACATCATTTCCAAAAAAAAATTACACGTAGCGTCCTGACTATTATAGAAATCAGTGGTTGGTATGGGTTGCACGGCTGCAGCCGTGCGTCTATGCGTCGCTCTAATACAAAATGAGGAAATAGACTTATAAATAAGGAAGCATTCAACAAATTTAACTGATGTTTTCACAAAACATTGAATTTTTGTTTATATTTTTATATTTAAAAGAAAAACATCCGGTTTTTTTTAAAAAACAGTTTACGGTTCATCCGGACTAATTTCTGACTATTCCGGAAAATTACATATCCCTATATATTTTTATTCAAAAAATAGTAGGCACCAATAACTTATAAAATTTTACAAACTTTTTAAGAAATTTTAAAACAATATCATTAAATATAAACTTATTACAGGGATTATCTTTTTCCGGATATTTCCGGAATTCCGGATATTTTTCTTAACTTTTAGTTTTTCCGGATATTCAAAATGTTTTCTATACATACAAGTTTAGGTATATATTTTTGTTATATATTTGTTTTTTAAGCTTTTTCATTAATCAATCATACAAAAATTATAAAAAGTTTGGAAAAAAGTTTGAAACAACTCAGCCAAAAGAAAATTTAGAAGGAAAATTTATTCCGGATTTTGTCAGGATATTCGACCCAACCAAATTTCCGGATTTTTTAAAACATGACCTGGATAATCTATGTTATTAAAACTATCAACAGATCTGCTATCATCTGATTCTTTGTTCTTGAGGTTCTTACATACAAGTTTTTTTCTATACATACAAGTTTAGGTATATATTTTTGTTATATATTTGTTTTTTAAGCTTTTTCATTAATCAATCATACAAAAATTATAAAAAGTTTGGAAAAAAGTTTGAAACAACTCAGCCAAAAGAAAATTTAGAAGGAAAATTTATTCCGGATTTTGTCAGGATATTCGACCCAACCAAATTTCCGGATTTTTTAAAACATGACCTGGATAATCTATGTTATTAAAACTATCAACAGATCTGCTATCATCTGATTCTTTGTTCTTGAGGTTCTTTTCAAAGTTTCTCAATGTTATAATAGAGGTTTTTTAATAACTAGTGCCTATAAAAAAAGTTATTTTTTCAAAAATTCAATGCAGAATAGCTTATCAGTAAAACATTTTAGTTCATGATATAGATCTTTCTAGATTAGTTAATTACTAGTTAAAAATTATAAAATTATGTATTAAATTTTTTTAAAAAACAAACAAACAACAAAACTTTAATTTATTATTTTAAAATATATTGAGATTTCTTTACCAAAATAAAAATATCAAAAATAGTCTAAGAAAAATAGTCTAAACTACTAACAATAGCATAATTAAAAAAAACAATAGAGGGACATATCAAAAGACTCAAACACATAATTAACTGTATCCGTTGTGTTTTCTGCCAAAAAAGTTTTCTGCCAAAGACGTACATGACTAACTCGTGCAGCTTTGCTTTTTTTGTTTCTGGCTTCAATAGCAATCTCAGACAAAGATGATACTTAGAATGTAGATTGTACAGAATGTGACATAGGTATGATTTTTTGTAAAATGTAATTATTAATGATTGCAAATAGATATTCAGATTTCTGATTGAAAATTTATATCCACTCTTCTAGTCGTGGTGTTCATAACAATGATAGGTGCTCTTTGTGGTACACTAAAAATAATAACAAAATACATTAAAGCATATACAACACCAATAAAAATGTCAAACTTAAAAGTGTTTTTGTGAAACATAGTAAAAACAATTTGTGTGTGTGTGTGTGTATATATATATTGAAAACTGAGGATATATATACATACATCTTCAGTTTTTAAGTGAAATGCAATAAGTCTAAAAGCATTATTTTGAGATAAAGAACAAATAAGTTTTTGTATAATAGTTAAAACAATAAATTTTTGTGTAACAGTTGAAATAATAACTCATAAACAAACAATTGATTTATTAAATTTGTATGGTGTATCAAATTATTGCATTTCCCTACTATACCGAGGGAAATATATATATATGTATATATATATATATATATATATATATATATATATATATATATATATATAATATATATATATATATATATATATATATATATATATACATACATATATATATATATATATATATATATATATATATATATATATATATATATATATATATATATATATATATATATATATATATATACATACATATCCTCGGTATAGTAGGGAAATGCAACCATTTGAT